GAGTCATCAACACAATTTTGACTAGTCACAATGACTGTTAGAGATATCTGAAACTCAGCTTCGACTAGCTAAAACTCAATTACAGATATCTGCAAGTGGCATTTAGGATGACGAGGGGAAGGGTGGTTTTCTTGAGGTCATTGCAGATATCTGTAACTCAGTTTCGACTGGTCAAAACTGAGTTACAGATATCTCTGACTGTCACAATTATGTTGTTGATATCTATAATGTTAATTCTGGAGAGTTAAATGTAGCCATTAAATGTTAAAAGGGCTTCCCATAGTTTTGTTGAGGTTATTGCAGATATTTGTAACTCAGTTTTGACTAGTCAAAACAGAATTGCAGATATCTCCAACTGTATTTTTGACTGAGTCACAATTATGTTGTTGATATCTATAATGTTAACTCCGAATGTATTCGCAGACATAATATATTCTTTTCTCTTATTTCATCAAATTTATACAGCTCATTATTAAGGAACACTAGTTTTGGTGCAGCTTATCTGATCCAATGCAGTTACGTCAGGCAATGAATTTTCACTCACTACTAAAAAGACTGTAAATTTACATGGTCATTGCCTTACAGTTTATAAATATTAAACACAATAAATAATACATTATATATACTTGATCTGCTGATGACGTCCTGTATGTGTGTTGTGAATGTCATGATGTCATGTCATGTCATGAACCACTGCCTCCTGAACCAACTGGAGCACTTTGAATATACTTCTCCTCAGACTTGGGTAAAAAAACAAAAAACAAAACACACACACACACACACACACACACACAGAGTGAAGTTGTGCAGTACATGTCTTGTCTGCTGTTTTCTGAGTAGTTTGGTATTATGCTGTTACCCTGTACTGTCTTTTGTTTCTGTTGTTTTGACCTGCCAAAGAAATTAATGAACCTGAAGCAACATTTGGTTTAATGCATCAAACGTGACGCAGATGCTTGAGCTGCAAACGGCTCCTTGTACAAATTAGTTACAAAGAGGTTTCAGGACAACAAAGTCAATGTTTTGGAGTGACTATCACAAAGACCTGTTCTCAGTCCTGCAGAAAATTTGTGGGCAGAGCTGAAAAGGCGTGTGGAGCAAGGCAGCCAACAAACCCCAGTCATACACTTTAAAGGCAATGCTACTAAATACAAAGGAAATGTATGTAACTTCTGACTTTAAAGGAAGTAATGAAATAGTCACTAAAATATTTTCTCTCTCATTATTGTGGCATTTAGCAAATAGAAAGAATTTTGGTAATCCTAACTGACCTAAAACAGGAAAATTTTAGTCTGATTTCATATCAGACAGTGAGAAGGGGGAAAAAAAAGTTTCTTTTTTTACATAGTTTATGTAAACTTCTGGTTTCAACCGTGACTGATTGGCTCATGTGCTCGTCCTGCTGGTCTTTATACAGTTTTGATGCTACATTAGATGTTTATTTTCACTTGTTCACACTTTGCTGACCAACTTTGGGTGTCAGTCCACAAGTAACTGTACTGAATGTGGTGCAAAACTCTGTAGTGAGGCCAAGATAGGAAAAACAAATGAGTCAACTAATTGATTTAAAAAAGAAAAACCTCTCTTAGTCTTTACTGGATTCAGTAGAGAAGCTGTATGTTTGGTGTTTATGTGCTCCAGATCCTGTAGATACTCCAGTGTACAGTCAAGCTTCATCAAAGCACAAACACTGGTAC